TGTGGCTCTCTTCACCCTCCTCCTCTTCCTCAAGTGCTTCCATTGGCTGGCTGAAGACCGGGTGGACTTTGTAAGTGCAATCCCTACTCGAGGTGGTGGGTGCAGACACGAGACATTAACCAAATCAAGGGAAAGCTGGTTTCCCTGCTTGAAAGGGTTAAAGCCGTGTTTCTCTAGTCATGTAGTTTTTATTGATTTAAGGAGCAGTGGTTAGAGTGCAGTACTGCAGGCTAACGTCTGCTGACTGCCAGCTGCCTGCAATTTGGCAGTTCACATCTCACCAGGCCCAAGCCGTCCTTCCAAGGTGGGTCAAATGAGGACCCAGATTGTTGGGGGCAAGAGGCTGGCTTTGTAAACCACTTAGAGAGGGCTGTAAAAGCACTGTGAAGCGGTATATAAGTCTTAAGTGCTATTGCAGTTGCCCTTCCTTCCTTTTTTCCTTCCTTCCCTCCCAGTGATTAGTACCGCAGACTAACTCTGCACACTGCCAACAGTTCAATCTGACCAGCTCAAGGTTGACTCAGCCTTCCGTCCTTCCTAGGTCGGTAAAATGAGAACCCGGATTGTTGGGGGCAAGAGGCTGGCTTTGTAAACCACTTAGAGAGGGCTGTAAAAGCACTGTGAAGCGGTATATAAGTCTTAAGTGCTATTGCAGTTGCCCTTCCTTCCTTTTTTCCTTCCTTCCCTCCCAGTGATTAGTACCGCAGACTAACTCTGCACACTGCCAACAGTTCAATCTGACCAGCTCAAGGTTGACTCAGCCTTCCGTCCTTCCTAGGTCGGTAAAATGAGAACCCGGATTGTTGGGGGCAAGAGGCTGACTCTGTAAACCGCTTAGAGAGGGCTGTAAAGCACTGTGAAGCTGTATATAAGTCTAAGCGCTATTGCTATTGCCCTTCCTCCCTCCCTGCCTCCCACCTTCCAAGTGGTTAGAATGCAGTATTGCAGGCTAACTTTGCTCACTGCCAGCAGTTTGATCATGACCGGCTCAAGGTTGACTCAGCCTATCGTCCTTCCGATGTGGGTCAAATTGAGGACCCAGATTGTTGGGGGCAAGAGGCTGACTCTGTAAACCGCTTAGAGAGGGCTGTGAAGCGGTATACAAGTCTTAAGTGTTCTTGCTATAATGTGAAATGCAAAGAAAACACAAAAGCAAATTTTGGGGAAATTAGGAAAGGAAAAAGGGAAGTGGGTATTGGGGGAAAGCAAGGGGGAAAAAGGGGGGGGGAAAGCATTGACTTCCGACTCCTTTGGTGCAGTAAAATAAGGCATTATCATCTATCCTCAACCTTTTTTACTTTTTCATAATAATAGAAACCATTTCTATAACAATTAAAGCCATGGTTCTTACCCTTGGCCACTTGAAGAGGTGTGGACTTCAACTCCCAGAATCCCCCAGCCCCTTAAACCGTGATGTTTCTTCATTCTAGATGGAGAGAAGTCCCAACATATCTTGGCTCTTCCATTTCCGCATTGTCTGTAAGTACTTTTTTAAAATTTATTTTATTAAAGTTCTGTCAAGTTTTTTTTTTTTTTGACTGTCCTGATTGGTTGTGGCTTGAGACTGGATCCCAGTTTGGCTTCTTGAGAATCGAGCCATAAAATCTACCTGAAAACAATTTCCCCGGGTAGAGTTATTCTGTTTCTCTTAGGGTTATTTTTACGTGTGTGGCTCATTTCACAACAGCTTCATCGTTTATATGTCTAGTTACAGCTAGCAGTCCTTGACTTATGACTGCAATTGAGCCCAACAGTTCTGTTGCTGAGCAAGAGAGTTAAATCAGTTTTGCCCCATTTTATGGCCTTTCTTGCCACTGTTAAGTGGATCACTGCAGTCATTAAGTTAGCAACACGGTTGCCACAAAGGGATGGCCAGAAAGAAGAGGTGGGGGGGGGGGTGTCAACCTCTTCTCCAAAACACCAGAAAGTAGAACAAGAAACAATGGATGGAAGCTAATCAAGTAGAGAAGCAACTTGGAACTAAGGAGAAACTTCCTAACAGTAGAAGATTGGCCAAGTGTCATTGGACCCACAAGGAATTTGTCTTTGGTGCAGATGCTCTCAGTGTCAGTGGTAGTCAAACCTGGTCCCTACCGCCCACTAGTGGGCGTTCCAGCTTTCCTGNGCCTCCTGGTGGGGGGCTTTGGGCGAAGGCTGGAGGGAAGCACCGCTGGTGGCGAAGAGCTGGAGGGCCTCATTCCAGTGGGGCTGCATCATGGCCTGGAACTGGCTGACCATCTCAGCCCTGTGAGCTTCCAGGCGCCGGCACCTGGCCTTGCACTCCCACAGGTCTTCCCTCTGCTTGGAAAGCCTATGCTCCTAGTCCTCAGTGAGGTGCCTCTCCTGAGCCTCCTTTTCAGTTCAGATCCAATTAGAACTGGGCTGTTTTGCCAACTCTTTCTCCGGGTGGCTGCTTAGCTCCAGCAACTGCTTCCTGTTGTGGCCCTAAGGAGCCCAGGTGGGCAGGTGAGGAGTGGCTGGGAGGGGAGGGGTGAGTAGAGGATGGCAAGGCGCCCCTCAAAGTGAGTGACACCGAGTTGGCCACCCCCACTCAGTCACATGACCGCCCAGTCACGCCCACCCAGCCATTCATGAGGCAGATCGTATTAGTGGTCCTCGGGATTTAAAATTATGGATTCCGTGGTCCCCGAGCTCCGAAGGCTGGCGACCCCCTCCTCTAAACCACATTTTTCTTTTGCGATGCCAGGTGCTGTACATTCAGGCTTTCGTCTTGGTGTTCCTGCTCGGTAAATTCATGGGCAAAGTGTTTTTCGGACAACTCCGAGCGGCAGAAATGGAGGTGAGTCTTTGCCGAAGCATAGAGGGAGGACCTGCTTAAGTGGCTTTTAGCAAACTTCGCTCTCCTTTTGCAAAGAAACCTCTATTTTGAAGCTGGGAGCATCAGTTTTTTAAGACATCCCTTTTTTCTATTCCCCCAAACCACAAGTCTTATCTTATGAACTTCAGAAAGAGCCAATTTGTACAAAGCTAAGTCTTTATTCTCTTGGGCTACATTTTTGTAGAGTGTAATTAACATCCACACACACACACACTTAATAATTTGGAGCTCCCTTTGATTGGAACTGTTTTTGACTGTGGAAATGAGAGAGACGTGAAGAGAGACGTGAAGAGAGAGACGTGAAGAGATCCAGCTGCAGGACTGAGGAATACAGGTAGTCCTCGACTTACAACAGTTCATTTAGTGACCGTTCAGAGTTACGACAGTTACAAAAGCAACTTAGGACTGTTTTTCGCACTGAGGACCGTTGCAGCAGCACCCGTGATCACATCCGGGCATTTGCGACTAACTCGTATTTATGACGCTTGCAGCATCCCCAGGGGTCACGCGATTCAATTTTGTGACCTTCTGACAAGCAAAGTCAACCGGGGGGTACCCAGATTCACTTAACAACGGGATGACTAGCTTAAGAACTGCAATGATTCCCCTAAGAACGGTGGCAAGAAAAGTCATAAAATTGGGACAAACTCACTTAACAGACATCTCGTTTAGCAACAGTTGCGGTCGTAAGTCGAAGACTCCCTGTATTCAGGATCTCTTGGTGCCCAGTTTTTTTTTAAAGTTCATTTGTTCACTTTGCAGCCAGAATGACGAAAGAGTATACTTTTAATCATAGAAAACTACGGAGGGGTGACTGCTTCAGCATATCGCTTGTCCCTTGGCTGGATTTCCTTTGTCAAAACCATTTAATTAGCTGTTAACCAATTCTGGTTTCACTTCCCTTCGCAACAGACACCTGGAAGGGGGGAGAGAGAGAGAGAGAAAGACAAAAAAAAGCCCAGCCATTAAAACCGATTTACATTTACAGCAGCAATTAAAAAGCCAGATTCATAAACAAATCTTTGTAAGAAAAATGTGGGGAAAGGGAGGCAATTGTAGTAAATATTTAGGGATATAAGAAGAACCCTGTGAGATCCAGCTGCTGGCTAGTAGAGTCCAGCATTCTGAGCCACACATTTGCCAGATGTTGCACCTTCTTATAGCAATAAGAATAGCACTTAAGACTTAATGGGCGTTCTGGCCTAGGCTTCCCCAAAAAGCACGAAGCAGATTCCTGGTACCGACAAAACCCCTTTTTATTAAACGAATGTGAATTCCTCTCATTCACCTTCAGCCAAGGCCTGGCGAACAGTCTTTCAAAGGTGTATTTATGACCACAGACCTTATCTAGCTTGGAAAGCTGCCATGTCAGTATTTTCCAAATGCAAGGAAAGACTTGGGCACAAAGTCTCTGAGATTCACGGACAGATCTTCACACACCTCAAACGAACAAATGAATGAATTGCTTCCTGCAAAAGCCCCCCTCCTTTTTCGCGCCTCTTTTATTCCCTATGGGAGGGGCAATTCACTGTCCACCTGTCACTTTACTCACAAGTCAACCCTGATTTCTTAGCTGTTCTTCTGTCAGCTCTGTGCATGTGCACACTGGGAACAGGCTCCAGCTGTTCCTCTGCCTCACTGCTGTCTTGCTCCGAAGGCAGCTGAGAACTGCCAGACAGCCTTGGCCCTGTCTCTGCCTCTGACACAGAGCCCTCGTCTGAGCCTTCCCCAGCCTCCAGGAGTGGCCCATCTTCCTCCCCAACCTCCTCACTGTCTGACTTTGCTGCCAGCT